AGTTGAATCTTGTTGAATATATTGAAAAATTTTAAGGTACTTCTTAGTTTTCTAGGTATTTTTACACTTCAGATTTGAATGCCAAATATATACATATGTGTATGATTGTGTGTGGGTGGTTTGTGTCTTAAGTAGGTTTAAAACAAAATTACACAGCTGTCACAGATTTCAAATCTGAACAAAACTAAGAAGCACTCACTGAGTTTAATATTTCCATTTCACAGATCATGAAAATATTACATAATTAGCTCAATAAATTTATTGAGTGGAAGAAATGAGTTTCAAATTTTTTCAAGGTTTCATAGCTAACTATAGCCTATACCTCAGCCTCCTGGCTCCTAGGCTGATGTCCTTTCCATTTTACCATGCTGCCTCTCCTGTTTCATCTTGAAAGAAGTCATTGCCTTAAAGGATGGATAAGAGGCAGTTAGTTAGGGCATTTTAGGAGGAAGAAATGGGCATGAGCTAAGGCAGTGAAAAAGCATAAGGTGCCTAGAGATTTATTAGCAATTCTTTATTAAAAATGTCACATATATATTTAAAAATTGTATCTTGTTACAAAACCTTCATTTCTATAAAGGAAAGTAAGAATGGAGTTAGATTTTTATTCAAAACATCAATAATTGGTGGCTAATTTTTCCAAGTTGAACTACAAAATCAAAGACTTCAGGATAATAGAAGTGACTATTATTACAAAACAGGATTATTGAAAACCTGTCATTCAATTTTATTTTAAAGTATGAAGTTGCAATGTTTTAAAATATCTTTGGTGACAGGGATTATCAATATACTTATAAAAACATACCTCATCCCCACCTGTCACAAGAGGAAGAATGCATTTATATTTTTCTTTTTGTGTAGTTGTCATGATGACATAATTATCTTCTTTATACAAAACTCCAGTTGTGGGCTAGACAGAGAACAAAAAATACACATTACTTTCTCTGGTTAAATTGCACTACACTGATAACTTACAGTCCTCAGTCAAACTTATTCATCACTTCAACAGAGGATTTTAAAACATATCCCCAAAGGAAAAGGGAAAAGATTATATGTATTTTTAAATAACAAAATGAAGATGACACACTTTATCCTGGTGTTACAATATAACAGAAAACTATAAACAAAACGAAAGTTTGAAATATAAAGAAAGAAGTAGTAATGCAACAAATTGAAGTTAAAATATGGGTTAAAAATATTAAGAGGCAATGTTCATGGATACACTATTACTGAATTCTTATTACTTCTACTAACAATTACCACCTTTATGTAGGAATCTACAGCACTTTATAAAGGTACTTGCAATTGTGTTGGATGGGACACTTGAACAAAATATAGTACCGTATTTTTCACATTTGGATACTGCACAGATAAATTACTTCTAAAAGAAAAATCACCATAGGTCATTTGTGCTGACTTAACTTTTTTGAAAGTATATATCATGGGTCAGCAAATCTTTTTTATAAAGGGCCAGATAGTAAATATTTTAGGCTTTGTGGGCTGTATGGTCTCTGTGTAACTACTTACCTATGCCACTGTAGTAAGAAAGTACATAGGCAATATATAAGCAAATAGGAATGACTACGTTATAAAAAAATTTTATTTACAAAAACAGGTGGTGGGCAAGCCCAAAGGTGTTATTTACCAACTCCTGATATATATATCAACAAAACTATCCCTAAATCTTTCTATACTATGAAGCAAAACAAATTCACAAATCAAATATGAACCAATGTAATTCAAATGAACATTTCATTAATAACTGATATTATTTAAAAAAAATCTCCATGATAGCAAATGTGTCACTAACTACTAATGCAGAGATTTCACAGTCTATCATATGTGTTCTATGATAATTCAATTCTCTCTTATCTTTTCTCTTCTTATAGTACTATGAAACCACTATACTATTTGGCTATACTATTAAGTACCTTTGTTCTTTTCTCAATTTAACAAAAACAACGTTTAACTATAATAAAATCAGTACTACTTGACACCAATGTCATCTTAAACACAAATGCAAATTAGGGCAATGTTTTCCCAAGACAATAAATCGAAATGAAAAAATAGCAATAAATATAAGCTGTATTAGCTACATGAAAGTACAATTTTAAGTCCTTTATAGTTATTAACTCCTTGCTCCTCAAAACAAGTGTTCTATCCATCTTACAGAAAAGGAAACTGAAGTCCAGAGTTTAAATAACTTATCCAAGGTAACACAGCTAGTAAGTACAGTTTCCATATTCTGTGCTCTTAACTGTTTTAATGTATTTCAATCAGCTTTTGTTAACATTTTCTTAGATTACTATATAGATTTCTGGTTTATGGTCAAGGATCTTTTTTTAAAAAAATTAAATTTATTGGAGTGACATTGGTTTATAGGATCATATAGGTTTCAAGTGTACATTTCTATGACACATGATCTGTGTATTGCATTGTGTGCCCACCATCCAAAGTCAAATCACTTTATGTCACCACATATTTGGCCCCTTTTACCTTTTACTACCCCCCGTCCCAGGATCCTTTAAAAAAAGATTATTATAAGAGGGGAATAAAAAAGATTTGAAAGTTAGAGTTGCAAAGTCAAATTTACACTAATGGAATACTTAGAAACCACTTGTTTAGTTGAGCCAATAAACTGCTGTAGCATAATGCTTTTCAATGTTTTACAATATTCAGTATACATGATAGTGAGTTCTTCAAACATGACTCATATTTCTTAACAATGGATGGTCTGAATTATTGTAAAATCATTGCTGTACTGTAATGAAAGCAGATATTAGCACATATATGTATTCGCCTTTATTTGTGAAGTATCTGCAGCTCTAATGCTCAGAGTTGAATTCTATAGCAATATCGACTTATTTGCTGACATGTTCACCACAATGCTAACAATGGAAAAAGGAACTGTTTGCCCCATGCAGCAAGAGGTCACCTGTTCCATTCCCAATGGGGCACCTGCCCAGGTCTCAGGCTCAATCCCCAGTAGAGGGCGTATAGGAGGCAACCAATCGATGTTTCTCTCTGATGGACTTTTCCATTCCTTTCTCCCTCTCCCTTCCTCTCTCTGAAATCAGTAAAAAAAAAAAAAAACACCCCAAAACTAATTTCTCTGCTTTTTGTTTTCAAGGTCTAGGGAAGGGGTAACAAGAAACAGAAGCCATCACTATTTTGTGTGAAGATGCAAAGATTTGTCTTTCATTAGCTCAGGAAGGGCTGCTTTCCTCATCAATAAAACAGACCCAGAAGAAATTCTTCTATCTGAAAATTCTTCACTGAACAGTCACTTATTGGGATGATAAAGAAAAATTTGTAACAAACTTTACCCTTCTTTTTGGAATGGAAATTACTTGGAAAAAGTAACATTTTAAAAACTTTTGGGATTTTCTAAGTTAAAAATTTTTTTTCGATCTACTACTAAAATGCTTCCTTCTGATTTTATGAAACAGGCTCTTAATTTAAGAAAATAAAATAAATTCCACATGTACAGAATTACAGATGGTGTAAAAACTTATTTTATGTAAATTAAACCTTAAAGTATTTTCATTGTAACAGGTAATATTAGTGACTTGATAAATATCATATTTTAATACTATAATGACACTAAACAAAGGGGCTTGGTACTTTAAGGTTAAAGAACTTTACAAATATCTAGACAGGGGAGAAATCCCAATGTTTGACATGAGTCTGGAGGAATTAAGATAGAGAACGAGAGACAAAACTATTCAAAAGGCTGTAAAATAAAGTCAGTGGCACAACTTGTCAACATATATAACATGCTCGCAACTCCCATGGAGTAGGTTACCACTCTTCCAAAGTGCAGTGTTTGAGGAAAGTTTTTGAGTGGGAATACATTTCTATATTAACAACAGACGTAGAGAAAATTAGACTTATTTTGTAGTTTTATTTTAAAATCCATGAACTCCGTGAAGTAATGAATAATTGAACACTTTAATGACCTAGAAGTGATATTTCAGAAGGAAAATACATACACAGACAAAATTTAATGCTAAAAACCAGTAAAGACTATCATAATTAATTAATGTAAACATTTTAGAATTTACCAATTTTTGGTGCTTAATACTTTTTCCAAATAAATTTGGAAGATTGTAATGATTATGTATTTCTTGATGTATATGAATGGGACGATGATTTAAAGCACAAAATACTTTTAGACCTAAAAGGAATCCAGATCTAATCCAGTCCCTTCCAATTTTAGATGGCAGAGAGATAAAGGCCCTCTCCCTACTTCTTGCAGCTGCTTAGTTTTACACAAATGTCCAACCAACTGGCCCATAAAAAAAACAAAACACGACAGTGCCAGGTGAGGAGAGCTGCAGTTTCAATTACATAAAGTAGGAAAGGGAAGCCTTAAGACTATAAAAATAGTTTTTTAAAAAAATCAAAAAAACAATGATGTCTCTTGGGGCTTATTTTTGCCTGAGGTCTACAGACCTTTTGCCAACTCATAGAAAAATGTATCTAGATTTTTCTGAAAGTAACTCAAACTTAAAAAAAAAAAGAAAAAAATAAGTCTCCCCAAATCTTCAACTGTCCCCATCTTAGATTATGCATTGCCAAAGAAAAGTAATTAAAAACAAAATTTCAAAATAAAATTGATAGATATGTGAAAGGTTGGTATAGCATTTCCTCTTTTTAGCTAGTAAACAGCAGTGCCAGAAAGAAAACTGAATAACTGGGTAGTCACCTCTAAAAAGGCTAATTTATTTATTTATTTTTTAAAATATATTTTATTGATTTTTTTTACAGAGAGGAAGGGAGAGAGACAGAGTTAGAAACATCAATCAGCTGCCTCCAGCACACCCCCTACCGTACATGGCCGGAATCGAACCTGGGACCATTCAGTCCGCAGGCCCACTGAGCCAAACAGGTTAGGGCTAAAACGGCTAATTTAAATCATCCACTTCTAGGTTGGTGAGTTTGGTAGGGCCATATATCGGCATGAGTTTTTAAATTAAAGAAAACAACAACAACACAGGTGCAAGAGTAAAACATTTTAATGACCAAATTCTTTAAACATTTGTTATGTTCATTCCACGTGTGCTGTCTGGAAACAATAACCCCAACCCTGCTAAGGTTATATCTGACTCACAGCTGGTATATATTATCAATACAGGGTGAGGCAAAGTAGGTTTATAGTTGTTCCTATGGAAAAGAATACAACGATTAATAATTATACAAGAATAAACTCTGTTTTGTGTACTCACAACTGTAAATCTACTTTTGCCCCGCCCTGTATGTCATGGCATTAACCCAAAGATAAACCTGTCTTCCCAGACAAATATTTACTTAGATAAATCTGAACTGCCAGAATAAGAGAACTGAAAACCGGGGGGAGGGTGGGGCGGAGAAATAAAGCAGGTGTGAAATACTAGCAAAAACGAACATTTGCAAATAGAAACTGGTTGCGGCAAGGATGACATCCTTTTCCCTGGTACATCTTGTTTCAGTGAAATAGTAATAGAGCAATATACTAAGATAGTTTCCCAAGTGGAATGACTATAGGTAATTGGCATAAAAAAAATTTAAAAAGTTTTCCATTTCCAAGGGCTTCGGTTTGAAACAAATCAATCACTACAGGGTAAGTATCAGATACGCACCATTTTCATTGGCTGACAGTGGATAGGAAGACTTTTCAGCAATCGACTCCCCGAAGGGAAGGACCGCAGAATTTCATTACGGTGAGGTTATATGTATGTTTATTATTGGAAAACTCATCGTAAAAACCTCACGTTCTGGGATCTTAATGAACAGTCGTAATGCATCAAAACTGTAAAGGATATTCTACACGGAGCATCGTGAACATCTCCGGCCAAAGAGCCATCTCAAACACAGCTCTGAAGGGAGACGAGCTGTGCACAGACGGACGTGTGCGCATAAGAGAGAGAAGAACGAAGATGAATGAGAGGGGGGACTCCTCTCGGCGGGAACCGGGGTGTGTGGGCAGGGCGGTGTGCAACAGCTGCAGTGACTTTCCAAAGAGAAGGAAGAGCGCTCGCCTGCCGTGGTGGTAGGAAGCCCTCCTCCCCGGGGAGGGAGCGTGGGGAAAGCGAGTCTAGTGCGACAGATTCAAACAGTGATCGGCTGGCCGCTGGGTCCCCAGGGCTCAGCCTAGGGGCACCTCCACATCCTGTGTTCGGGAAACACTTGCGGTCTAGATGAATGAATGAACGGACGCGGGGCGCACCGAGTTTTGGAGCGGGGAGGAGACACGCGCCTGCACCGGTGGTTCTAGGAGAAACAAGCGCAGAAGACCGAGCGAAGGGGCCGAACCCTGAACGCCGGGGGGAAGCGAGATGGCTACGGACTCGCGAGGGCACTGACCAGAGAGAACTCGGTGCCGGGCCAGTTGACTCGGAAAGGGATGTCATCGCTGAGTTGGGGGAGCGCTCGGGCGCCGCCAGACGCCTCTAGGAGGCCGCAGAGGACCAAGAGCACCGCTCCTCTGCCACAGAGGAGAGGAGGGGAGGAGGAGGAGGAGGCGGCGGGACTACTTAAACGCCCAGGCAGCCCAGGGCCCAACCGCCGCCACGTCTCCTTCCGGAGAGCCGGGCTACGCCGCCCCTGCCCCCGTGGGCCCCCCGCCACCGTTTCCGGGGCAGGCCGAGTATCAACATCCGGGGTCACCGGGCAGGCGCTACGGAAGCCGGGATAGCGGCTGGGCTCTGCTGGTTTCCCACAACCGCAGTTTCGCGGGGGAATCGAACGCAGCGGCCTCCCGGGAGGGGACGCCTGAAGACCGGGCCTCGGACCAGTCTTTTCGGCGGAGGAGTGACGGCACAGAGAACCGGTGAGTCCGGAAGGCGGTGGCCGCGCCC